TGAAGTAGATGCACTCGCTGGCGGGTGACAGTCCGCAGAGCTGTCCCTCTTCCTCTCTGAGCACTGGAGTGGCAAATGTATAGAAAAGTACTGCACAAAAAGGCTTACACTTTTCAGGGCCCACACTGCATCATAATCAGAAAAGGAGAAAGAAGCAGAATGAGAGAAAGGAAGCGGCTCCTACCTCCAGGACATTTTTCCAAAAATTGGTTTTCAAAGCCACGTCCCTTTCCTCTCCTGGCACCCTGACGTGGGCAAAGCGGAGAGGGGAGGAGGCTCAGGAAGGGAAGGGAGGGGACAAAGGCCATGGTCCCTTAGAATGTGAGGGCTCTAAAAGAAGTGTTCACGGGGGCTCGGAAGAAGGTTGCCTGTGGGGGCCTGGGACGAATTTGCTGGAAGAAAGAACAGTTTGGCATCAGACTGTGAGGCGGAAGTGACTGCTTCTCTGCCTGGGGCTGCCAGGCGTCCTTCTTGTCCTGCGTCATAGGACTCAGAATCCCAGGAGCTTTGGAGATCAGTCTCCCTACTCTGGGCAGAGCTGGCCTTAGATCTTCCGACTCAACCGGCAAGGGCATGAGTTTGGAAAAGTGGAGGTGGGGCTTGGGGAGCATTGCATGTCTTGGCCTCTGCTCTGCCCTCGCCTCCTTCCCAAGCTCTCCAGAGGTGGCCTTGGCCACGCAGGGGTGATTCTTGCAGCAGCATGAGTGCCAGAGCCCCTTTACTGTAAATGTCTCTTGTCGTACACAATTTCCTGGTCCCTGAATCCTGTGAAAGGAAGAGCCATCCCTTGTGTTCTGACATACCAGGTGAACTCCCCGGAGGCCAGTCTGGGAACCGTGGTCAGTCTGGGGCCACTCTAGGGGCTGGGCTGGAGGCAGAGGGGGCTGCTCGCCTTCTCCCTGCCCTGGACATCGTGGGTCACCCTTACAGATGATTAGGAGAGGGGAGGATGAAATGAACAATTATCCAAGGCTGAAACAGCCCCAGGTTGGGTGAAAGCCACCAGTAAATGACTCCCGCCACATCCAGTGTCCCACAAAATAGTCTTTAAAGTCAATCAAAAGAAAAAAATACATTAGTGACAGGAAACAGACCTCTAGATCTGGAAAGGCAGAAGTTCTTTTTTTAAAACACATAAATATATGTCTTAATAAGATCTGGTCCTGGGTTAATGGAGGTCTGGTTCTTGTTAACGAAGCCACGTGTCTCCTTGGTGCGAGATGTGGCAGCTGCTAGAGGACCCAGGGCTCCCAGGGGAAGTACCACCTGGGTTGAGTTTCTCAGGATGCGACAGAAACTCCTGCCCCACAGTCACCTGAATCGATCCCTAGACCACAGTCCCTGGGTCGGGGGTGCTGGGGTGGTGAGGAGGTTGGGCCTGAAATCTGCATTTTTGATCCCAAGTGGTTCTTCCTGCTCGTTGACATTTGATAAATGCTGACCCAGGGCCTGGGGGAGGGGCTCTGGCCTTCTGCTGGCTGGGGAGCATTTGCCAGTTCCAGAAACGGGAAGGGGAGGGGACAGGGACTGGATTCGGGCTGGCTCAGACCCCTCACCCCTTCTTCAAAGATAAGCTTGGGCCTTGTACCCACCCCACCCCTAGGTCCTTCGTAGAACTTGAGCTTGAGGTCATCAGCAATCACTGTTTTCCCTCAGACAGAGGAGGAAGGATTTCGTGAGCCTCGAGTCACCATGTTTCCCGGATGGGCGTATGGGTTTCCAGGAAGTTATTGCTTCCACTTCAGAAATAACTTTTGAATAAGAGTCTCAGGGCCCTCTGAGATGAGTCTCGTGCCTCACTGAGGTGTCCTTCTCTGCAGACATGCGGGTGGTGAGCCGGAACTGCACGGAGGACGGCTGGTCCGAGCCATTCCCTCATTATTTCGATGCTTGTGGGTTTGATGACTATGAATCTGAGACTGGGGACCAGGTGAGAGTCTACCTCCCCCTGGGAGGCGGTGGAGGTGGGGCCGAGGAGGTGCATGCAAAGATATTCCCACCAGGGGCCTTGACTGCCCATGGGACTGCAGGAAGCTCAGGTCCTTAGGCAGCATTCGTAGGCATTCGCTGTGTCCCCAAGCCAGATGCTGGGAGGGGAAGACTTATTCATTCATTCTGGGCTGAGAAGTAGCTGGTTTGCTGCCTGAGCTCCTCCAGCCCCCACCACGTGTCCTCCACCTCCCTGGTTACTCCCTGGCTACCCAGGACACCCAGCCTTTCTGTGGCCCGGTGACTGGAGGGTTGATGCTGGGCCCAGCAGGGCTCCTCCGGGACCCTTCCCCAGGCTGAGGCTGGTGCCTATTAGGATCGGTCAGTGCCTCTGCATTCAACAAGCCTTTGTTGAGCATCTGCAGAGTGGGGACACCTGTGCAGAGAGGAGGAAGCAGCTCAGCAGGGGATAAGGCGTTGGGGAGGCCGCATGGTGGAGGCACTGAGGAGGGAGTGGCGGAAGTGAGGTCAGCCAGAGGGGAGGAAAGGCGGGAGGAGCTGGGCAGAGGGCCCAGGGGCGGGCAGGCCCTGGCTTGGGAGACTGGGTGCAGTTCCGCGGGGGGCCGGAGGCTGGGGTCGGGCCCTCGTGGAGCCCTGCACGTCCCTCGTCCTGCTCCAGGATTATTACTACCTGTCGGTGAAGTCCCTGTACACGGTTGGCTACAGCACGTCCCTCGTCACCCTCACCACGGCCATGGTCATCTTGTGTCGCTTCCGGTGAGCTCCCCAGCAGTGCTCCAGTGGGCGCAGCCACCCCAGCTCAGACCCTTTGCTCCGTCCCCTGGGTGTCGGTCCTGGAGCTTCCTGGAGGGATGTTCCCTACCCCTAGGATAACAGTTGGGAAACTTGACCTCAGAGAGGGCAACTGCCTCGTCCAGGGCCACCCAGCAGGAGGCCTACGTGCCTCACTTGTATTTTCCTGGTCTAGGTAGAGGGGTCACAGGAGGGAGAAGTCTGGTCTGGAGGCGTAATGGGGCAAGGCGACAAGGGCTTGAAACAGAGGCGGGAGGAAGGGGGCGATCTGGGTGGGAGACCCCACTGAGACAAAGCCTTGCCGCTGGCCCAGAGCACACTCCAAATGGGGGTTAGAATGCGATGGGTTCACTGTTTCAAAGCCTTTTCCTCCGCCGGCCCGCTGCCGTAGGAAGCTGCATTGCACCCGAAACTTCATCCACATGAACCTGTTTGCGTCGTTCATGCTGAGAGCCATCGCCGTCTTCATCAAAGACTGGATCCTCTACGCGGAGCAGAGCAGCAACCACTGCTTCATCTCCACCGTGAGGGAGCTGAGCCCCACGTGGAAGGGCCCCTGCCCTGCCAGGACTTGCCCCCCAGCCCAGGACACCCCGCCACCTGGGTGTTTCCCTGCAGGTTAAGGCATTGTCCCCAGTGAACACGGAGATCTAGGCGTGACCATGAGATTATCAGTAGCCAGTGATTTCCCTGTATGGCATCACTTCCTGTCCCTTGGCATGTGCGTGCACTTGGCAGAGCAGTCAAAGAAGGTCAGGTGGAAAGGCCAAGTCCTACTTGACCGAGGAGGAACGTAGGCTCAGAAAGAGGGCTTGCCTGGCCCCTGGTCGCCCGACCCACCCACTTTGGGGCTGAGGGGCCGACTGGCTGGCATTACTCCCCGACCACCTCCCCCGTTCTCAGACCTGTGGAGGTAAGCAGAGGAGGTAGGCCGCGATGGCGCTGGATGGAGAGAACAATGCAGAGCACAGGGCCTGACCCGGGAGGGCACAGTTAGAAGGGGTCTCTTGAGATTTTTGGGGACCAGGACTATCTCTTCACCAATGTGGTGTCCAAAACCCTCATTTTCCCAAGGGGCCTCCCTAGTCACCTTGCCTGCGGGGGCCAGGGGAAGGGCAAGACGATGGGGGAGCATGAGCTTAGGGAGGAGAGGGGGCTCTGTGCTCAGCCCCCAACCCTGTCCTTCTCTGATGTGGGCAGTGTGGCCTTCGTGGGCAGCCTGGGCTCAGAATCTTAGGCTGCTACAATGTTAAACTCTCAGAATCCAGGAAGGTCATGCAATTCAGACCCACAGGGCGTATGAGCCCGAGCATGCCGTGCCGAAGGGCTCCCCTGGTCCTGCGGGGCTGGATTTGCAGGGCTCGGTGGGGTGGGGTGTGGGGCTCACGTCTCCCTCACCCTCCGGGCTCTGTCCGCAGGTGGAATGCAAGGCCACAATGGTTTTCTTCCACTACTGCGTCGTGTCCAACTACTTCTGGCTGTTCATCGAGGGCCTGTACCTCTTCACCCTGCTGGTGGAGACCTTCTTCCCTGAGAGGAGATACTTCTACTGGTACATCATTATTGGCTGGGGTAGGTCACTGGCTGCAGCCTGGACAGGCTCAGGCCTCATGGCCAGGTATATCCTTGGTGCTGCTGTCAAGGAGTGTCAAGTCAGAGGACAGAGGTACTTTCCTGCCCCTGCTGATGGCACGCTCCTGGTTTTCGGGCTCTTTCTCGCTCTTCTTGCCCATGGGAAGCCCACTGTCTGAGAGAGTGTATGCTTAGGGGTCTTTCTGAGAGCTGAGATGGCCCACAATGAAGGGGAGACATGGACCCCTAGGAAGCCTGGGTGTGAGGGACAGTTAGGGTCCTCAGAACTCCAGGTCTGAGAGGGAGATATGCCTCATGGGTCAGAGCCCCAGGTCTGAGGGGGTGATGGCCACTGGGAGCCCCACGTCTGAGGGGGACATTGGACCTGCTGGTTTTCCTATTATCATGGAGCTCCTTTTCCTGCTCTTCCAGGGACCCCAACAGTGTGTGTGTTTGTGTGGGCCATGCTGAGGCTCTACTTCGATAACACAGGGTGAGTACATGCCTACGAGTCAGGAGGGCCAGAGCCCAGAGGAGCTCCCTACAGACAGGTTCTCGGTGGCTCCACGTTAACTGTCCCCGACAAACCATCCAGTGCAGGGCTCAGACTGCACTCCCAGCCCTGGGCACTGACTGACCCTGACCCCACCGTAGGTGGACCCACCGGCCACATCTTAGCTAAAGGCAGTGAGAGAACACATGGTTTTAGAGCCCACTTTGCTCTTGGGCCCAACTCTGAGTGTCTGTTTTCCTTTTTGGGAGGGAGGAAGAAGGTCCATGGGGGAGATTGCACCCCCAAGAGCCCTAGATCTGAGGGGGGAATGTAGCCCTTGCCCAGAAGCCCCTTGGTGACCCTGACTCTTGGGTACCAATCCTGCCTGGACAGGGAAGCAGAAGGAAGGACCACAGCACTTGAAGAAGCAGGGCCCTGTCTGCAGCCCCTCAGAGCTCTCTTTCCAGCTGTCCCTCCTCATGGAGCTGCGGGAAAAGAAGCAGCGTCCAGGGGCCTGGGACATCGTCCCACAGGCATCCCAGCCCCTGAGCATAATCTCTGTTCCTCCTCTCTGTCTGTCTTTCAGCTGTTGGGATATGAATGACAACACGGCTCTGTGGTGGGTGATCAAAGGCCCCGTGGTTGGTTCCATAATGGTGAGTGTCCTTGGAGCAGGGAAGAGGCAGTGGCCTGGGTAAAAGGCACAACAGGAGAGGAAATAAAGAGGTCACCACCCAAACCAACCTCCTTCTTTTTCATGGCTGTATTATATTCTGCAACATGGACATACACATTGTACAGCTGTTCTGCTGGCGTCAGCCATATATATCATCCCATTTTTCCTTCTCATGGAAAATACTACTAGGAACACTTCTGTGCGTAACTTGGAGCACAGTGACTATTTCTTTAGAATAAATCCTTAGGAGTGGGATTGCTGGGTCAAAAAAGGGTACCCTAAGTCGCTGTCTGCACTGTAATATCAGTCATTTAAATTTTTCCACAGTCCTGTGAGGAATAAAGGTTGCTCGTTGTTGTTAATGTACATTTCTCCACATCATTAGTGCTGCAGAACATTTTTTTTTCCCAAACGCCTATTGACAATTGTTTTTATTCTGGTTATTACTAGAATATTGCTAATTTTGCTTATTTTTATAGCCCAGTTGTTGTCTTCTTACTGTTTGAAGGATAGTATGCTTCATCTGGTACATCTGTTGTAAGTGTATTTCCAAAGTGGCATAACTCTCATATAGTCAAACCGTCAGGCTTTCTTTTTACAAATTTCAAGCCTTATTTCTCGTTTAAGGAGGCCTCTTCCTACCTAAGATATAAAAATAGGCTTCTCAATTGTTTTGTAACATGTTCATGAATTGGGTTATTACATAATTTAATCCAGCTGAAATTTTATTTCTTTGATCTAAAATGCTCCCTAATTTTTTTTTTTAAATGGGTATACATTTCACTCTCTCAATATTTTTTAATTGACTAGGTCATCTTTTCTCCATTATGTTGAAATGCTATTGCATCGCAAATACTTAGCATACTCTGTTTGAATTTAGTTTCAGATTTTCTATTCTGTGTTATTAATACCAGCTTTTCCCATGGCCAGTACTCCATGGTGCTAGGTACACGTAGCGTGTTTTGGTATCTGGTATGCTAATTTTCCCTTCTTTATTCTTTTTTCTTCAAAAATTTCTTGCACATTTACTTTTTCAGGCAGATTTTGAAATCCCTTGTTGAGTTACAAAAATAAAGTCTGGTTGGGATTTTTATAGGAATTATATTGAATTTATAAACTAATTTGGAAGATACAATTGTTTGTATCTTCACTCGTATCTACGGTGTTGCTTTCTGAGTATTCAGTTACCGCGCTCAGTCGTGCTCTGAAAATATTAAATGGAGAATTCCAGAAACTATACAATTCAGAAGTTTTAAATTGCGCACCATTATGAGCAGCGTGATGAAATCTCACCCTGTCCCATCCAGGACATGAACCACCCTTTTGTCCAGCACATCCTCGCTCTGTTGGCTACCCACCTGTTAGTCACTTAGCAGCCATCTCAGTTATCGAGTTGGTTATCATATTGTGAGAGAAAGAGAGACCACATTCACATAGCTTTTATTACGGTATGTTGTTGTAACTGTTACATAGTGTCATTAATCTCTTACTACACCTAACTGATAGATTAAATTTATCATAGGTATGTGTGTATGGGAGAAAACTTAGTATATATAGGGTTTCATACTATTCATGGTTTCAGGCATCCACTGGGGGCCTTGGAAAGTCTCCCTAGTGGATAACGGGATACTGCTGTAATTGCTTTTCTTAAAATATTATGCCTTCCTCGCCAAGAATATGTCATGAGTCCCCATTTCTTCAGTCTTTCTCATAGAGTCATTTTGTATAGTTGCCTTGTTAAATTTGCCTCTAAGGTAAATCTAGCCAGTCTGCTTTTATTGTGTCTAGGAATCGCTCTTCCATTATATTATTTTAGGTTACTACTGCAGTGTAAGAAAGCTATTAGTTTTTGTTTCTCTTTTCTCGGCTACCTTTCAAAACTCTCTTATTAGGTCTCAACCCTTTTCATGTTGTTTCTTGTGGATTTTCTAGGTAGAAAATTACATAACCTTTAAGTAAAAATAGTTTTTACTCTTTCTAATGTTTATATCATTTATTCCCTGGTTTTGTTAAGGATGACGTTTGCTATAGTTTTGGGAAGTTACCTTTCGATGAATTAGTCAAGTTTCTATTCATGGCTTGTTCAGTGTGTATTTTTTTTTTTAAATTCAGGAATAGATGTCGAATTTTATCAAATGTGTTTTGGAGACATTTATTGAAGTAATTATTTCTTTAGTGATGGACATTTCTATTATTCCATTGTTTCTTCATTATGAACAATGCCACAATGGATATATTTGGGCATATCTTTGTGGCTATGTGAATATGTCTTTAGAAGGAATCTCTAGGAGTGGACGTTTTAGGACAAAAGCTGTGTACATTTAACATTTAACATTTTCACTAGCGGCATATAAGAGCGCTCAATTTCTCGTGTCTTTGTTGGTGTTACAATTACTGAACTATATGCATTTTTGGTATAAAACCGTTATGGCCATGATCTGTTTGTTCTTTTAGTACACTGCTAAATTCTATTTGTTCATATTTTTATAGTTTTTGGTTTCAGATGTGTGTGCGTGTGTTTGTGTGTGTGCACGTATGCTTTCTGTCCTTGTCTGGGTTTTGTGGCAGGGTTTTGTTAGCCTCAGGTAATTTGAGAGGTTTTCTTTTTATTTGCTTTCGAACAACGAAGTAGTACATAACTTGCATCTTCCTTAAAAAGATATTCTGAAACTGGTCTGTAAAGTGATCCGGGTCTGGTGCTTTTTTCTGCATACATCTTTGATTACTTTTCAAATTTCTTTTGAGGCCACTGCTGTGAGAAGATTTTCTACACCTTCTCGTTTTGGCTTTGTTAACTTATATTTTCCCATTTCGCTTGATTTTTCTCTTAGGATTTAAAATATTCTGTGCATCTGTTGTTTTACTCTTTTATTTTGTTTAATTGCGTTTTCTCCTTTTGAATGGACTAACACATGCAGTTAGCAGCATTTACCAAACTAAATTCCAGGGATTGATTAGACACTGGGCAGGTAGTGGAGACCTGACCGAACCCGCTCTCCTGGAGTGTGCTTTATCCTTCTAATAGATCTGTGAAAACAACAAATAAACAAAACAAGGCCTGAAAATGAAATTTATTTTGATTGATCAAGTCTATCTTTTTCCCCCTATTTCTTTATAATGAATTTTTATCCTTATTAATTTCTTTCTTATATAAGTTAAATTTGTGGTACCCTTTCCCTAGCTTTTGATTTGCATGCTGAATTATTTTATCTTCAGTATTTATTAGTGTTTAGTGTTCGGCTATCCATTTTTTTCTCCCAAGGCTGCTTCGGCTGCACGGGGAAGGGGCTGCTGTGCAGTCCCCTCGTGGTGCCTCATTTCGATGTATTTGCTTGCCTCTTTCCTCGTTTCTCACCATATGCTCAGCTCCCATTTTGTTTAGAGAGCGCTTGTCCCTGAACTTTATCTGAAGGTAAATGCTCCTGTTACTCTTCCCGGGCAGTGCTTTAGTTAATCATGTGTATGATTGTCCATTTTGGTTCCCCATGTTCGACGATTCTGAACTTGGAGGTCCTCCAGAGGACAGCTCTCCTCTCTGTAATAGCCTCTTCTCTATCTGTCTGGCATTGGAGTTTTTCCATTACCCTGACCCTGTTTGCTCTTTCTCATCCAGAAATTGCTCACTTTTCTGGCTCGCCCACGATAATCATTCTCGTTTCTCAGTACTTCTATGGAATTGTTTTTTCTTCCCTCTCTTCTGTCGTTTCAATGACACTGTGGGAGGCTGGGGAGATGAACCCGTGTTCACATCACCATCTTGGATTACGAGTCTAGGCGGGACCTTGATTGGATGGGAGAAGGCTCTGATCGGGGAACAGCAGCCTAAGCAGAGGCAGGGGTGTGGAAAGTCTTTGCCCACAGTCATTGCCATCTGCTTGTCTTTGCTCCTCAGGTGAACTTTGGGCTCTTCGTGGGCATTATCATCATCCTCGTGCAGAAACTTCAGTCTCCGGACACAGGAGGCAACGAGTCCAGCGTCTACTTGTAAGTACCATCGTGCGAGTGCCACAGTTGCTCCCGACAGCTGCGTGGGCCCTGCAGTCAGGTCACGGGAGCAGAAGGCCTGATTTTGCTGGCAGAGTAATCTAGCAGGGGCTTTGCAAGATTTCCTTCTGATTAAAGTGCCTTCAAAGTGTAGCCTCCCACCACCTGTCCTTCAGCCACCCCGGGAACTCCTGATCCACACAGTGGTTACACAGGAGGGAAAAGAGAATCATACCAGGGAATCACGTTGGGAATTGCCAGATTCACGAGGGGGGTTAGTTAGGGTGTTGGTTGTTGAGAAGTCAGATTTCCTTTGGAGAATACCTGTTCTTTGGGAAGCTCACGAACGCCACCAGGTACACTGTTGCTCGACAGTCCCCCACTCAGCCCAGTGTGTACGAGTTGCTGCAGCCCCCATCAGCGAGTCAGGTGGACCTTTGAGCTGGTGTGGGTATTGAGAAGGGGGATGCTTTTTCTTCACCTCCCCTGAGGGCAACTCTCCCGGGTCTGGTTCTCCTGCAACTCCCTCCTCCCTGAGCAGAGCAACATCTGATACATTGGGATGATGGGGTTCGCAGGCAGCGTCTTATCGTTGAGTGTAGGGTTTTCTTCACTTCCATAGCCATTTGTTTTGTTTCCTACAAGTTTTTGTGCGGTCACGTCCCTAACAGCCTGTCCCTGCTTGCTCTGTCCCCTTTCCTAGCCCTCAACTCATTCTGAATCAGACTCAGCACCTTTCATCTCAGCTTTTTGCCTTGTGATCAAAAGCACGACCAGCTAGGTGTGTGGGGTGTGGGGACACTTCCGATGCTGGGGAGGAAGGTCCGTCCGTCCCTGTGCTCGGCTGGAGGGGCCAGATGGGCAAAGACAACTGAGGGCAGTTTTTGGGGTCCATCCACCGGCAAGGTATAATCCATATGTGTTGTGTCCTTGGTTTTTAAGAAGAGAGCAGGTTGAAAGCAGCTGAAGGATTCTCATGGCATCAGTGGGGGGCTTTGTCCTGCCTTCATCAGAGACCCCAGCCTGTGGCTCAGAGTTTTAATAGTTGTCCAGTGGACAAGTGGGGCAGCAGAGAGACCCCAGCAGAGGGCTCCCCGCCTCAGCCAGCCATTCTCCTGGAGGGAGGGAGAGGCAGGTATGGCTCAGAGACCCACCCTAGGTCCTTCCCTAAGACTCCTTGGGGCTTCTCTTGGTCTCTCTACGCAGCCTGGGCACCTCCCCTTCTAGAAGCGCTTCCTCTGGGGCTGTGAGATCAGGACAGGGCCTGGGTTGCTCAGCTTTGTTTTCATCTGCATGGAGGATGATTCCATTACATTGGAATTTTTCTGTTATCTATTTACTGATTTTTAAAAAAATTTTAAATAGTTTTGCAAGTTTTTACCAACCCCTGTTTATATATGTATGTGGTCAAAAATTGTTCATCCATGTAAGTCAAAAAGCATCTGAGGCACCGCACTGGGGGCCAGCGGGGCCTGCTCTCTGCAGCTAACTGCCTGCCCTGGGGAGGCCACTCCTGCCTTTGTCTCAAGGACCCACACAACGGGGCCCTGTGCTCCCCTCACCTCCCTGTCCAGAGACCATGTCCTTGTGCCTGGACCCACCTTCTCCTGCTCGAGGGTGCATTGGCTCCCACGCTAACAGTCGCCTCGGACGTCCGAAGCCGCCGTGTAGCTACATCGGCCTCTGTCCTTGGAGCTCTAGCAGCCTTGGCCTCTGCCCCTCCCCTAACCCCTCTGCTTCTTGTTAGGATCTATGTCTTCTTCTGAAGTCCCTGGGGCTCTCCCAGCTTCTTCTCACTCTGCCTGTGCCGGGACACACACAGGAGCTCAGTCGTAGCCTAAATAATGACACTCCGCAGACTCCACTTTATCAGTTCAGACATCCTGTCCCAGGCAGTAAGAACCCCCAAGGTCTGGCCAGGGTTTTGAAGTTATGGCAGACTGGGAGCTGTAGATTCCTACCGGGCCTTCCTGATAGCACCTAATAGCAGAAGTAAGAACCATATGTAGTTAGCACGTGGTTCAGATGAGCATACCTCAGAGATATTACAGGTTTGGTTCCAGATCACTGTGATAGAGTGAATGTCACAATAAAGCGAGTCACACAAATTTTGTAGTGTCCTAGTGCGTATAAAAGTTATGTTTATACTATACTGTAGTTTATTAAATGTACAATAGCACTATGTCTGAAAAAACAATGTACATACCTTAATTAAAAAATACTTTATTGCTGAAAATTGCTAACCATTATCTGAGCCTGCAGCGAGGAGTAATCATTTGACTGGTGGTGGGTGTTGCCTCAGTGCTGATGGCTGTTGACTGATGAGGGTGTGGTTGCTGATTTCTTCACAGCAAACTGTGAAGTTTGCTGCATTGATTGACTCTTCCTTTCAAGAAAGATGTCTCTTTGGCATGTGATTCTGTTTGATAGCATTTTACCCACAGCAGATTTTCTTTCAAAATTGAGGTTAATCCTCTCATACCCTGCTGCTGCTTTACCAACTAAATTTATGTAGTATTCTAAATCCTTTGTTGTCATTTCAAAAGGCTTCATAGCATCTTCACCCGGGGTAGAGTTCATCTTTAGAGACCTTTTTTTTTTTTTTTTTGCTCATCCATGAGAAGCAACTCCTCATCCATTAGAGTTTTATCAGGAGATGGCAGAGGTTCAGCCACATCTTCAGGCTCCACTTCTGAGCCTCGTTCTCTTGCTATTTCTACCACATCTGCAGTTACTTCCTTCATTAAGGTCTTGAACCCCTCAAAGTCATCCCTGAGGGTTGGAGTCAACTTCTTACAAACTCCTGTTAATGTTGGTATTTTGACCTTTTCTCATGAATCACAGATGTTCTTAATGGCATCTAGAATGGTGACTCTTTTCCAGAAGGTTCTCAATTTATTTTGCCCTGACCCATCAGAGGAATCACTATCCATGACAGCTATGGCCTTAATAAATGTGTTTCTTAAACAATAAGTTTTAAAAGTTGAAATTTTTCCTTGATTCATGGGCCGCAGAATGGATACTGTGCTAGCAGGCATGATAACAACATTAATCTCATGTGCATCTCCGTCAGAGCTCTCGGGTGACAGGTGAATTGTCAATGAGCAGAAATATTTTGAAAGAGATCTTTTTTTTTCTGAGCAGTGGGCCTCAACGGTGGGTTTAAAAATTCAGTAAACCATGTTGTAAACAGAAGTGCTGTCATCCAGGCTTTGTTGTTCCCTTTATAGAGCATAGACAGAGTAGATTTAATGTAATTCTTAAGGGCCCTAGGATTTTCAGAATGGTGAATGAACATTAGCTTCAACTTAGAGTTATCAGCTGCATTAGCCCCCAATAAGAGAGTTAGCCTGTCCTTTGAAGCTTTGAGGCCAGGCATTGAACTCTCCAGCGATGACAGTCCTAGATGGCATCTTTTTCCAGCAGAAGGCTCTTTTGTCTACACTGAAATCTGTTGTTGAGTGTCGCTCCCTTCATCAATTGTCATATCTAGGTCTTCTGGATAACTCATTGCAGCTTCTCCATCAGCACTTGCTACTTCACCTTGTACTTTTATGTTATGGTTTATTTGCTAAACCTCATGAACCAGCCTCTGCTGGCTTCCAGCTTTTCTTCTGCAGCTTCCTCGCCTCTCTCTGCCTTCATGGACTTGAAGAGAGTTAGGGCTTTGCTCCAGATTAGACTTCGGCTTAAGGGAATGTTGTGGCCGATGTGAGCTTCTATCCAGACTAATACGACTTTCCATATCAGCAATGAGGCTGTTTTTGCTTTCTTATCATTCATGTGTTTGCTGGAGTTAGCACTTTTAATTTCCTTCGAGAGCTTTCCCTTTGCATTCCGCACCTGGCTAACCGTCGGTGCAAGAGGCCTCACTTTTAGCCTGTCGCGGCTTTCGACGTGCCTTCCTCGCTAAGCTGAATCATTTCCAGCTTTTGATTTCAAGCGAAAGACATGTAACTTCCTTTCCCTTGAACACTTAGAATCCATTGTGGGATTATTATTTGGGTTAATTTCAATATCGTTGTGTCTCAGGGAATACGGAGGCCCGAGGAGAGGAGGAGGGAGTGGGAAAGGCCAGTTTGTGGAGCAGTCAGAACACACACATTTATCCATTAAGTTCAGCATCCTTCATAGATGCGATTCGTGGGGCCCCAAAACTATTACAAGAGTAACATCAAAGATCACTGGTCACGGAGCAGGATAACAATAATGAAAAATTGAAAATATTGCGAGAATCACCAAAACGTGACACAGAGACACGAAGTAAGAAAATGCTGGTGGAAAAAATGTGGCCGGTAGACTCGCTCGACACGGGGTTGCCATGACCTTCGGTCTGTAAAAAATGCAAGATCTGCGAAATGCAATAAAACGAGGTATGCCTGCACATTTAAGCGCAGACAGTTAAAGAACCAGCTAGTTGGCCGGCTTCTATTGTGTAAAAAAAAATCCCTTCGTGATCTCAACAAATCCTTTTTTTAGAGAAAGCGAAACCTGCGCTCATCTCAAGCCCCCAAGATTAAAACCTCAGCTGGATGTGATCTGCAAAGCAGGGGGCAGGTCCGACGCAGAATAAGGGGTCATCTCGATCCCATTAAATTCGGCAACATGTTTGAATGTTTCCAGGGTCAAGGAGACCCTATTAGGGATAGTCACAGTGACAAGGCCGCTAAGAAATGCAGAGCATTGAAAAACACTTGCGGCTCAGCCCATATACATTTCATGCTCGCAAACACCCAGAGAATCTGGTGAGATAGGTATAAAACACGTGGGTCTGTAAAATATAATCCCCTGTTATATCACCGAGGGAGCTAGTTACCGGTGAAGTGTGGTGAACCCTGCAGGGAAGAGTGAGGCCGCAGCCACACGGCAAGCAGGTCCTTGACTCCCAGCTCCACTTACACCATCACTCCTGTCCTCAAGGAATTTCCAGGCGAGAAGATGGTGTTAGGCAAATATATAAACAGGGCTTCCTGGAAGAAGAGGCTCCGGTGGGTTCCAGCCTCGTATAAAGCTGCCCACTTGAGGAGCGTTGAGCAGGACGGGGGGCCGCTGTTAGGGAAGGGGAACTATGGGGGTGCTGGAATGGGCAGGCCATGGTGGGAGAGGGAGATTTTAGGGCTGTGCCTGAGTCTCCTTGGGCCACCAGAGTTATGTGTTGGGCTGAGAAACACTTCAGATCTGCCCACAATAGCTTTTTGATTTTTTCCTCTGTTTCCAGAACAAATTTAAGCCCGGGAGTCCCCAAGAAAGCCCGAGAGGACCCCCTGCCTGTGCCCTCAGACCAGCATTCACTCCCTTTCCTGTAGGTTGGCTCCAGCTGCTCAGATGATAAGGGTTTGTCCTTCGTAGACCAAGACGGCGCTCCCCACCCAGCCTCAGAAGGACCCGTTGGGGGCTGGGCCCCTGCAGGGGGCAGTGGCCCGGAGCCACCCACACTCTCACCTGATGCTCCTGCTAGAATGAGTATCTGGGCTCAGGACTCTGGCATTGAGTGTGGGCCTGGATCAGGGTCAGCTTGTGCTCAGGCACGACTTGCTGTTGGGCAAAGGTTAGGCCTCAGCCTGGGGCTGGGGGCAGGGTTGTCCTGCCATTTCCTGGGGACCCCAGTTTACCTCTGGGAGAAGCCAGCTAGCTCCGAAAGGGGAGGGTGAGGCTCCAGGGCAGACAATGATTGCGCTGAGAGCATCTTGGGCCTGGCCCTGTGGGGAGCTGTCTTTATTCCCAGGGGTCTTCTTATTTGAAGTGAGCATTGGGCGCTGCCTCTAAGGTCTGGGGTGGGGGAGGGAAATTCCATCTGTATCCCCCTCAAAGATCCCGCAGAGCGGGTCTCCATAGCCCCTCAGGATAGAGGAAGGAGGAGAGAACCGGCACCATGATGTTGTAGTTGGCTGAGCAGGGCTGTGACATACCCAGTGTCAGAAGGATGGCGTTTAGCTCTGAAGACAGGCTTTTCCATGATGAGGCAGAAGTTCTGGGTCCGGGAACTCAGCCACCATCTAGGGCTTCCGGTTCGTGTGGAGCTCCATCTTTCGCTTCCCTGCCTAGGAGTACCCCATCTTCCCAACTCCTGTTAGGGACTGGCAGCAGAAAATTGTCACCTCCACTTTTCAGATAGAGAAACTGAGGCCCAGGGAAGGAAAGTGGCACCACCTAAGGTCACCCAGCAAGTCAGGCACCTTGAGTTCAGGTGCCCTGAGCTCCCAGGCTGGGCAGGGGGCACTGAGGTCCGGCTCCTCGGTGGTGGGGGAGGAGGTGGTGGCTGGTGGGAGGCTCTCAGGTTTGCAGAGCTGGCTTCTGGCTGGGGTACCAGTGCGGTGTGGAGTGCCTCCCTGGGGACTGGTCTGCGTTCTGGGACTGCGCAGCATCACATCATGAAGGATCCTATGGAGAATGTTCTGCTCAGGCCACGACATTCCGTAGGCCTGCCAAGTGTCCAACGCTGCACTGACCACTGGGATCTGGGCGAATAGAAAGGGGTCTCTGTCTAGCATCTTGTTAGGTCTTTCCTGGGGCTACAGCCTGGCAGCCTTGTGCACAAAAAGCACTAAAGCATTTGGGAGTTTGGACCAAAGCAAACACCTTGTGCATCCCGGGTTATAGATGGGAATGCCAAGACCTGGAAGTGGCTTCGACCTTCCTGCAGATAAACAGCAAAGCCTTGGTGGGAACGGGTCTGGGAGCCAGGCCTCTCTGACTTTCTGCTGTGGGGTCTCCCCTCTGATTCCGGCTGACACTCACCAAGCAGCCCCCACACTTCACCCTTATCTGAGTTTCTTATCCTTCCTTGGATCCAAATCAGACCTGAGCTCGTCCGCCAGCCAGGATGATCTCTTCCTCTTGATTGAATCCCTTTCCCCCTTCTCACTCATCGTAGTGACTTTTCAGAGAATCCGACATCTCTTTCTTTCTCGTGCCTGTTTCTGGCTTTTCTGCCACCCTTTTGTGTGTGTTTTTTTCAGTGGATCCTTTTGCAGTCTTTGAAAATTTGGGGAGACGGGGGTGTTCGGAAAGAAGAGCCCCACCTTTGTCCCTAGATCTTTCTCCTGAGAGCCCTCCCAGGTGCCAGGTACCCCACCTTTTCTTGCCCCCCTCCCCTGTCTCCATCAGAGGAGTCTGATTTCCCAGCTAACTTGCCACTAAATGGCCTTGAGCCTACTTTGAAGAAATCAGAGGAGTCTATATCTACTGGATCCAGGGTCCAGGAAGGGCAGGGAAAATTTGAGAGCTCAGGGAGGAAAGATCTCAAAGGAGGACAGCTGGGGCTTAAGAATTCTGGCTGAGGGTTTGTGCCTGGTGTGTAGGAGGCGACATCCAAGGTTTGGGCTCTCAGGCTCCTGGACCCTGACTTCTGTGGTTCACCCAGGCCAAGGGCGAGGGACCAGGCCACTGAATGGAGGGGAGAGTAACCACCTTTCAATCTGGGCAAGATAGAAAATAAATTTGAAAACTAAGATGGCTTTTATTTCCGAATACCCAATTAAGCATTTTTAATGATTAGGAAAAACAAATATGTCCATCTGTCTCTTTGTATGAATACAAAACAGATCGTTGACATTTATCGAGCACATGTGAAGAATTTCTCAAATATGTGACTTCTTCACACAGTGCTTCTTGAGCTTTGATTGGCACATGGATCACCTAGGGGTCTTGTTAAAGGACAGAATCTGAGCCCGCAGATTTGGGGCGACACCTGAGATGCTGCCTTTCTAAGAAATGCTCCAGCGGTGGTGATGCTGCTGGTTTAGGGTCCACATTCTGGGTAGCAGAGCGTCATAACTCACACCTCTCATCTGTAAAATGGGCCAGCAGCACCTACCTCACGGTGCGGTGCAAATTGAAAGCTCCTTTTTATGAAATGGGAACCACAAGTCCCACCGAGGCGCAGATGGTTATGTGGACCTCAGCGTGCCCCCTTTTTGGCGTATGTGATTCAAATGTTTGCCTTAGCAAAATGACACATCACCACCTGCCGAGGACCTTCAGACTGGCTCTTGAGAGATGGAAGCACAAATAACGAATCTGTGAATGCCAAAGGTCTGGTCTCTTCATGCCTCTCTGTCCTCGTTTGCATCAGATCCCCTCAGACTGGTCAGTTCACCGGCAGGAGCTCAGGGCTCTACGTAGGGTTTGTGAAGTAGGTCTGTTGCAGTCTGATTAGATGACACAGCTCTTAATCCATCTCTTAAGTTGTCCGAGAAGGAACACAGGTGTCCATGGTTTGTGCCATCCTGAGCATAAGCAGGACCGAGAAGGGCTAGAAGAGGTAGAGATCCAGCCAGAGGCCTCTCTGAGGAGAAGGTGGCTCTGTCCCCACAAAGCAGAATGTCCAGCTGGACTGACACCCTGCCCATGGTGGACGCCTCCATCGGATCTCTCGTTTCTGCAGGCAGTGGGGCCGTGGGGCCGTGGGGCTGTGCCCACTGAACTTCTGTCAGGAGGTAACAGGTGTCCATGGTTTGTGCCATCCCGAGCATAAGCAGGACCGAGAAGGTAGAGATCCAGCCTGAGGCCTCTCTGAGGAGAGGGTGGCTCTGTCCCCACCAAGCAGAATGTCCACCTGGACTGACACCCTACCCGTGGTGGACGCCTCCATCGGATCTCTCGTTTCTGCAGGCAGTGGGGCCGTGGGGCTGTGCCCACTGAACTTCTGTCAGGAGGTCTAGCCTGGCCGGCGCGGAGCAGTAGAACTCAGCAGTCATGGAGTGCCCTCCCTCTGTGCTGCCCACGTGGGAGCCACTAGCCACCTGCGGCTGTTGGGCCTTGGCGGTGTGGCTAGGGGTACTGAGCAAGTGGAGTTTTAATTTGATTTAATTTTAAGTCAGATCGCCTCAGAGCGGTAGTGGCTGTCGCCTTGGATCCCTCAGGTCTAGACTTACAGTCTGTCCCGTCCGTCCCCCCTCTGCTCCCCCGCCCCAAGGTACCTGGGCGCTCAGAGCGGGGAAGGTGCATGCGGAAGCGGGGAAGATGCATGCGGAAGCGGAGAGGTGTAGAGGGGGAGACCGGTGGACCCTTGAGACAGGTTTCCTAGTCCAGCCTAGAACTGGCCTGATTCTAGACGTGGTCCGCCAGGCTGGGCAACACGAGGCTCGTGGCATGAGTTTCCAGCTGCCCGTCTCACTGACTGGCCTCCCACAAGGCCACGCTCTGAGCCACGTGCTGACTCTGGAGACAGGTTCTCGCTCCCTGCATGAGACCCAGCCCGGGCCCCCACCTTCCAAACACGTGAGGTCCCTCCGAACTCCCCTGACCCGCGTGCGGTCCCAGTGCGAGAGCTCGTGTGGGCATGTGTGTCCGTGCACACACGTGTGCGTGTACGGGCACGTGTGTCCGTGTCCACAGCTGACCCGGTCTTGGCCCTCGGCTTCCTTATCTTCTCCCACGTCGCCGCCTGGCCCTGCGTCCACGCCCCAGCCCTGGCTCCTCTCCCCTCTCCATCAATCATGTTGCTCTAAGTCCCGCCTCAGTTTCTTCATCGCCCAATGCCCCCCCAGCTGACAGAAACGCTGATCTTGTCACACCCAGCAGCTGCGTGCAGAAATGCTACTGCAAGCCACAGCGGGCTCAGCAGCACTCTTGCAAGATGTCAGAGCTGTCCACCATTACTCTGTAAGTGTGCGTGGCGTGGCTGTGGCCTTGTCCTGGAGGGGAGGGGGACGCATGTGGCTGCCACTGCCTAGAGCCTGCGTCCTGCCGCTGGGCTCGGGGAGAACAGAGAGCAGCCTGTGCCTCTGGCCCCCAGCCCTCTCCTGGCTGTTGCATGTTGACGTCTGTGTGCCTTGTGAGTTCTCGGCCGCCTTGTGACAGAGGGCGGGAGGGGAGGTTTTGGCGATGAAGCAGCAGCCATTGTGGGAGCAGATGGGGCTTGGCTGGGGCTGAGGAAGGGCCCTGACGCTTCTGCCACTGCTGCCTCGACGTGTGGTCTGTCCCAAATGCCCTGCTTCTCTGGTCCAGTCTTCGGAACTGCCACATTGTCCCCGAGAGGCCTAGAGCTTGAGTTCACGTCGACAGCCCCCCGACACGGGGCAGGGACCTGCTCTGCCGTGAACGCCATTCACACTTTGGTTGGTGTTCACTCTCTCAGTCCCCACAACCACCTGCGAGATGGGTACTTGTGTTACCCCATTTTACAGATGAGAAAACCGAAGCACAGAGAGGCGAAGGGACTCCTCCAGGTCACACAATTGTCAGGGTGCGGATGTGAACCCAGAGTGTCCTGTCACCGGTGCCAGGGTGTCTCTGACAGGAGCAGTGGCCTCATTCAGGGGTCCCTTTAAGTGGGGGAGCCCACTGTCATTGGGCAGCTCTGACTTGGAAGCTCTTCTTGATATTTTTAAGGACTTTTCTGCCACTGATGCCTCCTTGTGGCAGGGAGACCGATGCCAAGGCCCTGTGTCACTGCCGCCCCAGGTTCACCAGACTGTAGGGTGACTCTGTGACTATCCTCAAAGAATGTCCCTGTTCCAAGGCCTCTGGTCAACTCCGAAGTATGAAGGTGCCAGAGCTCCAGGCCCTCGTGACCTCCTCCTCTGCCCACACTGCCCTGTCTGCCAAAGGGCTCACTTCTGTCCTGGGTCCCTGGCAGAAGCTCCTGGACACTCCTGATTGCCATGGGGCGACCAGTGAGGGAGGGCGTTGCCCCTGGACTGTGCGATGGGACACCCCACTGCCAGTCTCCGCACCTGCCTGGGACTGGGAAGGTCCGTGCCTGAAAGGTCGCTTTCTCTAGCACTGAACTTGTCCCATCCGCAGCCACCACAGTGCTGGAGGGGTCTAGCCTTTTGGTTTCCATGGTGTTTCCCAAATCTCCCTGGAAACGGGCCCATTTGTGGGAGAAGAGGCAGGAGGGGGAGGCTAGGGATGACGCCCATGCTGTGCCCCGTCAGCAGGGTCACAGAAGGGTCCAGGATGCCACGTGCCTGCCCTTCCAGGCCACTTTCCTCTTCTTGTCCAACTTCCGTTCTGTAGCCAACACTCCCTGCTGCCTTCTGGGGTCAGGCCCTGGGAGCCTGGCGAGGGGCGGGAGCCCAGCGCCCAGGCCCTCTTTAGTTTTAAGGTCTGTGAGGCTTTCACACCGGGTCCGTGTGGCCTGTCATTCCCTCATGGCCAGGCACGTTCTGAGCGTGAGCCCGTGCTGGCCTGTGCTGGCCGGGACATAGCAGACAGTGAGGCACCACGCCCGCCCGCAGGGAGCCGCAGTCTAAGGGGCAGCAGACCGGAGGAAGGGTGAGAGGGCAGCCCGCTCCAGGACCACACCTGGGCTCGGTGGGGCCCTGCTCTGATCCCGTTGGTTCCAGCCCTTGTCCGGGGACCCCAGGCTGCAGCACGCGGGCCATCAGGGAGCAGGGGGAGAATGGGCGGCGCCCAGCACTGGAGGCACTCCTCCCTTCCAGGGATGAGCCCAGGTCCACCGAAGGTCTCCCCGCCTACCCCTCCCCTTCCTCTGGCTCCTGCCCTCCTCCTCTTTCTTCCCCTCCCCCCTCCCTCCTTCCTCCCCACTCAGTAGGCACTGGGAAGCCAAGGGCCAAACTCAGACTCCATGGGTTTGCTTCTGCTGAGATCTGGAGCCCAGATTCAACAGAACATTCTCTCCCAGAGAGGCTGGGATGGGGCAGAGGGAGGGGCACACGGTGTAACTGCCCCCAGTCGAATGGTCGCCTCCATGCTCAGCTGTCCACCCTGTGCACGAGCTCTGTCGGGAGACGGGGCGCTGAACCTCCCGCTCACCCCGACTCAGAGGGCCCAGGGGACGGACTGCACAGGCAGGGCAGGTCCGCTCTTTGAGGAGACTCGGGGGAAGCCCATATGCTGGGGTGGTCAGAGGCGGGGTCCCAGTCCTGGAGATGCTCTGGGAGCCCCGCTCCTGACAGAGCAGGACCCACAAGTGCGCGTGCTGGCACACTCCTGATGCCTTACCGTGGCTCTGCGTCCCACCCCTCAGAGCAGAGTCTGCCCCCCTGGGCCAGGGAGCCGGTTGCAGGCAGGGAACCCCGGAAGAGCTGGTCTTGGGGGCCAGAGGTCCTTTTGGCCCTTTCTTCCCTGCCCAGCCCACCCGAGCAGATGGCTTTCTCCCCCGCTGACTCAGCTGCAGGTGGCAGGTTCCTCCCGCTTGGGTGGGGGCCGTTTACGCCCACTGTCAGACAGTGCTTCCTAGGACAGTGCCCATGTCTCTTCTGTGGCCCACCCAGCTCCCCTCCCCCCAGCCCAGCTCCCTGTCCCTGTCACCCCCTGACTCTGCTCAGACAGGTAGCGCTCCCCTCCAGAGCAGGACGTTTGCTTTGCTTGAGGACCCACCATGTCACCTGAGCCGCCCAGTTCCCACCTCGCATTTCGCCTTGACTTCACTTCTCCCAAAGGGGTTTCTCTTCCCACGAGGGGTGTCTGTAACTCACTCACTCACTCACACGTGCGTGTCGAGTGGCTCTACGGGATGCTGATGTGACCTAGAGGGACGGGTGCTCTGCGCACTGGGGGTTGTCCCCCCGGACTTCCCAGGGAGGGGGTTCTGTGGGTGGGTGGGGGCCCGGCTCTGGGGGAGCAGAAAGGACTGGGCCTGGGGTTCTCTGCCCCGCATGGCCGCGGTCCGAGCTCTGGCGGCCCCTGGAGTGGACGCCTTGCTCTCGTCCACAGACGGCTGGCCCGGTCCACCCTGCTGCTCATCCCGCTGTTCGGGATCCACTACACCGTGTTCGCCTTCTCCCCGGAGAACGTCAGCAAGAGAGAGAGGCTTGTGTTTGAGCTGGGGCTGGGCTCCTTTCAGGTAGGTGTGGCATGTGGGGAGGGGGCGGGGCGTGGGGGCGTGGCGGAGCG